TCCGAACACACGTGACACTGGGCGTGGCCGCCGCAGGCAGCTTCCGCGGGAACCCCGACGGCAGCGTCCGCACGTCGCGACGCCCATGTCGGCACGCCTCTTGCGAGGATCGCGCCCGCTTTCGGCTCTTCTTTTCCTTCCTCTTTGCCCGCGCACTCCAAAATCCAAGGCTGCGGGCGCAGCGCAGCGCGGAGTCCCCGCGACGCGCGCTGGTCGCCCCGGGCGGGGTCCCAGCGACGCGCGCGGGTCGTCCGCTGCGCGAAGCAGAGAGAGCTGACTAGCTAACTGGCTGGCTGATAGCGGGCAAGTCTCTGACCGCTGGGCAGAGCGACGACGGGCGAACGAGGCGCCGGGCCCCCCGCAGCACGGAGTTCCCGCGACGCGCGCTGGTCGCCCCGAGAGGGTCCCAGCGACGCGCGCGGGTCGTCCGCGGCGCGAGGCCAAACAATTAGTCGGGCAGTCGAGAGAAGGCGCGGCTCGGGGGAGACGCTCCTCAGGTCAGGCCTCGCGGATGAACTCGGTGAAGCCGAGCTCCCTGGCGAGGGCCGTCGCTTCCCTCCTGCACCGCTTCGTGCGCGCCGCAAACTGCTCCAGCTGCTTCCGCAAGCCCTGCGGCGGCCCTGCCAGGAAGAACTCGATGCGCGGCGCCCGCATGAGCAGGAGGTCCTCGTGGCGCGTGGCGCGCGAGAGCAGCACGTAGAGCTCCAGCCACCAGTCGTCGTCCTCCTTCTTGCCGTTCCCTACCTCGTGGCGGCCGCAATCCAGGATCACGCCTGGGCGACGTCGACCGAGGGAGCAGCGCGCCGGGCAGCCGACGGCCCAGGGCGAGAGTCCACAGGACCGAGAGATGGTCTGGCCGCGGACTGCTCGCGCCCCGGAGGTCTGGCCGCCCCCGGAGCGCCGTTCCCCCGCCCCGTCGCCTTCGCGCAAGGTGCGCCCCTGGCACGCCACCGTGGTGATGACCCTGCCGTGCGAGAAATGCGGGGGGTGTGCCGAAATGGGTGGGGGTGACGCATGCGGGCGGCGGCACTGAGGCCTTCGGTGGAGCTCCCTATGGAGCCACGAAACGTGTGAGGGGTGTGCCGAAATGGGTGTGGGGGACGCATGCGGCCGCGGGCACTGGGGCCTTCGGTGGAGCTCCCTATGGAGCCACGAAACGTGTGAGGGGTGTGCCGAAATGGGTGTGGGGGACGCATGCGGCCGCGGGCACTGGGGCCTTCGGTGGAGCTCCCTATGGAGCCACGAAACGTGTGAGGGGTGTGCCGAAATGGGTGTGGGGGACGCATGCGGCCGCGGGCACTGGGGCCTTCGGTGGAGCTCCCTATGGAGCCACGAAACGTGTGAGGGGTGTGCCGAAATGGGTGTGGGGGACGCATGCGGCCGCGGGCACTGGGGCCTTCGGTGGAGCTCCCTATGGAGCCACGAAACGTGTGAGGGGTGTGCCGAAATGGGTGTGGGGGACGCATGCGGCCGCGGGCACTGGGGCCTTCGGTGGAGCTCCCTATGGAGCCACGAAACGTGTGAGGGGTGTGCCGGCCGCATGACTGGGGCGGTCACCCCTATATGGAGCTCCCTATGGAGCCACGAAACGTGTGAGGGGTGTGCCGAAATGGGTGTGGGGGACGCATGCGGCCGCGCGGGCCTTCGGTGGAGCTCCCTATGGAGCCACGAAACGTGTGAGGGGTGTGCCGAAATGGGTGTGGGGGACGCATGCGGCCGCGGGCACTGGGGCCTTCGGTGGAGCTCCCTATGGAGCCACGAAACGTGTGAGGGGTGTGCCGAAATGGGTGTGGGGGACGCATGCGGGCGCGGGCACTGGGGCCTTCGGTGGAGCTCCCTATGGAGCCACGAAACGTGTGAGGGGTGTGCCGAAATGGGTGTGGGGGACGCATGCGGCCGCGGGCACTGGGGCCTTCGGTGGAGCTCCCTATGGAGCCACGAAACGTGTGAGGGGTGTGCCGAAATGGGTGTGGGGGGACGCATGCGGCACGCGGGCACTGGGGCCTTCGGTGGAGCTCCCTATGGAGCCACGAAGCGTGTGAGGGGTGTGCCGAAATGGGTGTGGGTGACGCATGCGGCCGCGGGCACTGGGGCCTTCGGTGGAGCTCCCTATGGAGCCACGAAACGTGTGAGGGGTGTGCCGAAATGGGTGTGGGGGACGCATGCGGCCGCGGGCACTGGGGCCTTCGGTGGAGCTCCCTATGGAGCCACGAAACGTGTGAGGGGTGTGCCGAAATGGGTGTTGATGATGATGATGATGATGGGAGGGGGGAGGAGGCAGCGGGAGGAAGGAAGGAGGGAGAACGCGGGGCACCGTCTCTTCAAAACGAGGACCCAACACCACAGGATGGTTGGGAATTATTTGGTTGGCATCCTGTCCAGCCGAAGTGCCCCGCCAATCCTTGAAACTCAAGGTTTCCGACTGGGTTGGCCCGCCCCGCCCGCAGCCCCGCCGTTGCTGCCAGGCGCCGGGGCGCTGGGCTGCAGCTGGTAGCGGCAGAATGGGCAGAACCGATGCGTCGGCTCAGCCTCGTGCGACATCGCGTCGTCGTCGCGTCGCCGCCGTCGCCGGCGTCGTCGTTGCGCCCGCCCCTCCCAAGAGCCGCGTTCCATGTCGCCGCGTCCCTCCTCGCTGTACCTCCTGCTCCCCAATCTTCTTGGTGTTTGTGTTTTCTCTTCCAACTCCTCCTTCCTCTTCCTCATCCCCCTCCTCCGGGTGGTCGTCCCCGTCCTCTTTTTCTGCTCATCGTGCTGATTTTTCTTATCCTTGGCTTTCCTCCTCCTCCTCCTCCTCCTCTCGAGGCTGGTAGAATTCATGCCACCATCTCGTAACGAAACCACAGAGGCTGCAAATGATACCGAAGAAACACCCTGCGTTGTTTGATCGTTCATGAGATTCCTGTGCTATTGCTCCTTAGATTGTAAAGTATGCGAGGGCTGTGAAGGCCATGACGGCTAGGGCTATAGGGCTAGGGCTATGGGGCTATAGGGGCATAGGGCTGTTGGGCTATAGGGCTATGGAGCTACATGGCTATTGGGCTATGGGGCTATAGGACTATAGTGCTATAGGGCTATAGTGCTATGGTGCTATAGGGCTATGGTGCTATAGGGCTATAAGGCTATAGGGCTTTTGGCTGTAGAGCTGTAGGGCTATATGGCTATAGGGCTATAGGCTATACGGCTGTAGGGCTATGTGGGCTATTGGGTTATTGGGCTAACCATAGAGCTATAGAGCTATAGGCCTATAGGGCAATAGGGCTATAGGGCTATATGGTTATAGGGCTGTAGGGCTACATGGCTAGGGCTATAGAGCTATAGGGCTATAGGTCTATATGGCTATATGCCTATATGGCTATATGGCTATATGGCTATAGGGCTATAGGGATGTAGGGCTATATGGCTATATGGCTATATGGCTATGGGGCTACAGGGCCGTAGGGCTATAAGGCTATGGGGCTATAGAGCGATAGAGCACCCGGGCACCCAGGCACCCCCTGGCAACTCCGGGCACCGTTCACCTCCGGGCCACCCCGGGCACCCGGGCCGGCCACCGAAATCGGCGACGCACCTCACCTAACCATATGAATCCGTTAAGACACCTACAGAGGCAAATTCTGATTGGGGAATCAAATGCCGTTTCTTCCTCGCCGCTCGGCCGCACGCGTCTGGAGCACGTTGTTGTCTCGGGGTTTGCGGCGCACTCGCCGGCTGCAGCTATTAGTCCTGGACAAGGAGTACCACCAAACCCCGCGCCGCCCATCAGATTGTTGCGTAGTGAAGTGTTGTATCATCAAGTTGATGCATCGCCGCCCCCGCGCACATTGCTCCTCCTCATCTTGCTCATCCCTCCACACTTGTGCCTTCTCCTCCTACTCCTCCTACCTCCACGCCCTCCTCCTCCCCCGCCCGCACTGTATTCCTTCCATCCTCCCCCCTGCCTTTTCCTTCTTCCCCCTTCTCCCCCAGCCAGAGGCAGATAATTTCCCCTCACACCGTCAACGTTAAGGATGTAGCAAACTGCTGGCCGACTACACAATCCTCACAATCTTGGGTCTCCTCGCGGCTACAATACGTCCCAGTGTAAGTATGCGGTGGCGTGCTCAGTGGCCCTCTGCTATCCTCCCCCCCCCCAAGGGACTGGGATGAATGGGAAGCGGCAAGGGGGCAGGATGAACGAGCGGATACTGCGGGCGCTCATGAACTCCGCCAACGTTTTAGGGGAGCTCTCGCAAAAGAGGGACGGGAGGGGAAATGGAACAAAGGAGGAAGGACGCCGGCAGGAAAAGGAGGAAATATGCATCCTAAGATGAAACATAGGCAGGAGAATGCGCGGGAGAGAGAAGAGAAAAAATCCAGGATGACGAGGAATGGGGGAGGAAGACACGTGACAAAAATGACACAGACTATTAGGGGAAGACTCCGAGCAAGCGCAACAAGACTACTAGTCCTTCAGAGCATATGGGCCCTGCGCGGAAATATGATCGCAGGCTTCGTTAATGGACCTGCCCAAGGAGGACAACGGGCAGGCAGCAGTGCGTCCGAGGCTCAAGGGAGGACGACGACACGGACGACCTCAACGACGACGACGACGAGAGGGAGAGAGAGAAACAACAACGGGCGCGAGGCGGCCCTGGCGATCTTCTGCATCACCCGAAGCCCCCCGCTGCCCATCTGGAGGGAAAGGGGAGGAGAACGACAACGACGAGGAGGAGGGGGACACGGGACGCGCCGACTTCTGGGAGCTCCGAATATCTCTGACAGAAAACCAATCTATGTGATCTGGGGCCCACATCGTTTCCTGCGAAGGGTGGTCGTCTTAATAGTTTGTTGTATCCGTGGTCCCGCGTGCAGGCCCTGTGTAGTTAAGTCGGAACCGCGCCATGTTTAAACACTATCCCCCACTGTATCCTCTTCGTTGCCTGCGTAATCATATTCCAGCCGCACCATCCATATCCCGAGCCCCCTTTTTTTGTGTTCCTGTTCGCTATCCTGGCAAGGCTGTTGTAATGGGCGGTTGTTGTCGTGGCAGGAAGGCTTGAGCGTGTCCCTTGAGGACGGCGCCGCACGGTCACGCCATGTAGATTATGCCCCACCCTCTCTTTCTGTTCGCGGTCCTGGTAGGTAGTGCCGCGCGCGCTGTCGTGGCAGGACGGTAGCCGCTGTCGTGGCAGGGAGGCTCTAATAGTTTCTTTCCGCCCCTCCACCAAATCGAAAACAAATACAATAGGATAACTGCATTTTCTCCCGCTCGCGCCAATGGATGTCCATATCGACTCGCCGCCGGACGCGACTCCTCTTCAGCAAAATTCCACAGCCCGAATGCAGGTCCTCACCATGGGGTCTTCGCTGCACAAGAACTCTGGGTCTCAACCTTCGCCTGGGCGATGTACGTCATCGATGGGCGCGCCCTTTTAACTTGTTGCCCACCATGATGCGCAGCAGTTGCCCCTTCTCGTCTTCGGCTTCCGTCTCCGCAACCTTCTTGGCAGCGCGCTCGCAGTCCGTCTCTTTGCGACGCAAATTCCCCATTCCTTTCTCATTCTAAACTGCGTAGTTCGCCCACTTCGTCTCCTCGCGGATCTGCCATCCGAACGGCACACACGTCTCTGGTTTGCTGTCGCCCAAGGCTTCCCAAGCCTCCAGCCCGTGCTCCAGCACGGCCTTCTCAAGGAACTTGGTCCACGCCTCCTCCGTGCTGTCGCGAATCTCTCGTCCGCATGGCACAAATGTCTTCGGGTCTTGGGGATCCCACCGGGAGTCTGCGACAGCCGGAGAGCTGCCTCCGATTGACGAACACCCTCCTTTTCCGCTCCTTGCTCTTGTCGTCTGCACAGTTGAACTCGTCCTGCTGCAGCTCGCTGTAGATCTTCTGATACGTGCACGGCGCAATGATGAACGGCGACGCGTGCTCTATCGGGCCCACCGAATCTCCAAGCTCGGCGCTAACCTTTTCCAGGTGCTCCAGTTGCTTGTCGACGTAGGCATTCCAATCCTCGCTGAGCATGCTCGCCCAGTGATCCTCGCTGGTCGTCATGTTGTGCGTTCTCGCCTTGCTTGGTGCCAACCCTTCCATGTTTGCGGTTTCGCACCGGCTTGCCTCCTTCACCCTGGTGTAGGCCCTTCAAGATCTCCTGCTACGTCTTCGCGAAGTTCATCGCCACCTTCTCATGGCAGTAGTTTGTGTCCCCAATCGCGTTCTGCTGCTGGTGCTGCGTGGTCATCTCGGACTGCGACTGTTCTGTAGTCGTGTCGGGCACGCGTAGCTAGTGTAGTCAAACTTGGGCCTAAAAGGGTATATGTACCGGCTGGGTTGTTGTCCTGGAGACCGTGTTGTACAATGTCCCCGTCAGCCCCAAGGCCCCTGTCGCTTTCCCTGGAGTGCGTATACGGTATCCTGCGCATGCCAAGTTGTGAGTTCAGCCCTCCCGTACAACTATGGTGGTTCTCGCGCCTAGTCGATCACAAACCTGCTCAAGCCAGTTGGTCACTGTTCTATTGACGATTCCGTAGTGTTTGTAGCGCGTGGGTGGCAAGTAGGATTGAAAGTACTGCTATGTCGTATCCTCTTGTCGCTATGCTCGCTAACCCTTGCCTGCATTCCCGCTGGGGGGGACATAGATCCTCCGCGCGTCGCGTTCGTTGATCCTCTCAATTCGCATCAAGATCGTCGTCCCGCAAGCTTGGCCGGTCCATCGCCCCTGCTTCCCCCAAACTGCATGCCCCAATGATTGGTCAGCTGTGGTGCATTACAGTGCGGCTCTGGACCCGCCAATTTGTGCGTGCCAGAGAGGAAGATAATGTCCCATTCTCGTAGAACCGAGCTGATTCCCGAGCTGATGTCCTCCAATCGGTCTTCGGAATTTGCCGCCAGCGGGTTGCAGCACACGATTCACATTGCTCGAATGAGAAGCACCGTACCCTGTAGTCGTACACTTCTCAGTCGAGGGAGGAACACAGTCACTGCAATTTCCCCCTTCCTCCCTGGACCCCGATAGAAGCCTGTGTAGCTAGTGCTAAGCAAAAAATGGACACAGTTCAGTCAGGTTGGGGTGTGCTTGACATGTGCCAAACGCCACCTATGAGGAGGAGGAGGAGGAGGAGGAGGAGGAGAAGGAGGACGACAAGGACGAGGAGGAGGAGCATGATGAGGAGGAAAAAGTGACAATATCTCACGGACGCTCTTGTAGGTTGTAGGGGGTCCCTGGAGATTCGCACCCCGACGTCGAGTGGACCCGCAGGGGTGAGGGTCCGCAAATGGCATCCGACGTCGTGCTTTCTCTGGCGACGTGGCTCCCCAGCTTTTCGTCCTGCGCAGTCTGCTGGCGGCCCCGGGGCCTGGAACAGGGGCCCCGTGGGGCCAGCCATGGCCGAAGACCTGCCGAACCGCGGCTCTGTCACGAGTGTTAGGTCGGGCATGTCCCTCTGCAGGCGGATTTAGGACGAAAAATCAAACATCTTCCAAACAAATATCAAAAACAATACGCAGAGAAATGCCAGACAAATCGTCCCCTGACTCTTTGTGTCTCTTTTTGAACTTTCGTCCTGTAGAGGACCGTGCCCTACTTCGCGCGAGCTGCACCCCTGCGCCTCCCCTGCCCCACGTGCTCGGGCCCCTCCCTGGAGAGGCCCCCGATGGAGGGAGGCCGCCTCGGCCGGGGCAGCGGCCAGGCTCTCCCGAGAGCGGCGGGGTGCCCCGCCCTCGGAGGAACACCTGCTCTCTCTGGGGGAACGAACACGTGCCATAAACATAGAAACTCCGAGGTCCGCGCAGATTTCCCGGACCAGCGCTGGGGCCCCCTGACGCCGCGCCCGGCGCCGCCCCTGGCGCGCTCCGCGCGCCAGGGAGGGGGGTCCAACGCCGATCCGAGCAATCTGCGCGGACCTCCGAGTTGTTATGTTTACGTAGTTGTTCGTTTCCCTATTCTCCGGGGGCCACGCGGAGCTCCGAGAGAGTACGGCCAGGCAAACTGTCGTCCTTCGGCTCCTGGAAGGAGTCGTGGCCTCATCGCCCTACCCGGGGGCCAGGATCCGCTCATGGCCGGACCCCCGCCTCGCCCTGACTGGCTGTAGAAAGAGCAGCTCTGACCCAACCATCTGGCGCAGGGGAACAAGGAAGCAGCACGACCTCTGTGGGCCCTTGCCAGACCCCGGGGCCGTGAACACAAGCGACTCAGGACGAAAAGCCAGCGCCGAGGAAGGAGTTGGGACTTCTGCGGATCCCGCATTGCGCAAAATCACGACTTCGTTCGGTGGCAACTCCTGGGAGCCTCCCTTACCATCTTGTCGGATCTTGCGAATTGACGCCAATCGACGCGGGCGTCCAAGAGAGGGGAGGGGGGGCGCAAATCATGGCCAGGGGCATTTGCGCGGCCCAGGGGGTGGCCAGGGATGTATCGAAATAAGAAGAGGCGCCATAAAATCTGGGGAGATCTCATGGACCCCGCCATGATATCCACCCCTCCTAGTCGTCACCCATGGAGGCCTGGAAATGGACACCAACACCAAGACAGGGGGCTGCCTCCACAGGGGGGAGATGATCCTAGATTTCGGTGTTGGTGGTAATACTTCGGTCACCTGGGAAGCCAGAACATTACCACCATCACCGAGATCGGGATCCTCTTCCCTCGGTGGAGGAACACCGCCGATCTTGGTGTTGGTGTCAACCTCTGGGCCTGCGACACCCCCCTCTTGGCCGCCCCCGACGTCGGGGCCCTGGCATCGGCGAGGCACCGCCGACGCCGCCACGTCGAAGCACGGGCCGCGCTTGAGGGCGTGGGGCCTCCGGGCGTGGGGCCTCCGTGGCGAGGAGCCGGCGCTCTCGCGGCGTCCGACGCGCTCCCTTCGGGACGGAGCCGAATCAGACCGCAAGACCGGGTCGTTGCAGAAGTCGGCGGCGACGACGGCGGCGGCGGCGACGACGACGAGGAGGACTGCGACGACGGCGACGACCAATACGACGGCGGCGACGACGCCGGCGACGACGACGACGACGACGACGGCGACGACGATGAGGGCGACGACGACGACGAAGACGGCAGCGGCGGCGGCGACGACGACGACGACGCATCGGCAGCGAGGCGTTCCGAACCGCGTCGAAGATCGGACCGCCGAGCCCGGCTCCCGTTGGCAGCGGACGGAGCCGAGTCGAAGCGAACCGCAGCCGCGGCCCCAGCCAGCGAGTCGCATCGCAGCGAATCGGGTCGCGGGCGGCCCTGTCATTCGGTCGGGCGTGTCCCCCTGTAGGCAGATTTTGGAAGAGAAGTTGAAGAGAGTAAAAAAAAATATATTCAAAAAAGGGAGCCACATGATCCCCAAATCGTCCCCAGACTCTTTTTGCGCATTTTTGCATACTCCTCCTGTAGAAGGACAAGCCCGACTTAACGCTGCCCTTCCATCCGGAGCCACTCCCCACACGCTGGCGCCCCTGACCCGTCCCGTTTCGTCGCGCGCCGCAAGCCTCTGTGCGCCGCCCGGGCCCACGCGGGGTGCGCTGGCTACCCAACAAACCACCCCAGCCCAGAACCCGAAGCCGCTGTGATGGGATCGTGAAAGTGCGGGGGGGGGGGCACTCCAGAGCATTAAGGTTAGGAGTCCCGAAGCGGTGCGAGAACCGACCGTGCGGTGACCTCGACATCCCCAAAGGCCTCACCGCACGGTCCGTCAACGCACGGTTCTGGGGCCTCGGATGCCCCAGTCGCCCGAGACGTCCTCGGAGAGCGACCCGAGTCCCAAAACCGTGCGGTGACCCCGAATCCCCACCGACCCACCACACGGTATGGTCACCACCCCGTTTGGGGGCCCCCGATGAGGAAACGCGACGGAAACTGGACACCCCCCAGCTCGGAATGTGGGAAAGTGTGGGACCCTCGGGTCGGGTGGGGGCGGTTTGGTAAGCAGCGATGTGCAACGAAGAAGAGGACGCGTGGCAGTACGTGGGCTCCCGGGGACGCGCTCGGTCCACACCTGTGCAGGCGCCCGCAAGATGCGCTGCCGCCACCGCTGCTCACGAGAGCAGGCTCTGCGACAGGCCTGTAGAGGCGCGCCCGCGCAGCCTCGAGGCTGCGAGGTAGCCGGGAAAAATGAGAGCAGCGAGAGCCAGAACTGTCCAGGCCAACGTGCCTTTCTGCTCCGTGGTCAGCGTGTTCTGCAGCATGAAGGAAACAAAAAACGCGGTGCTGCTCTGCATCATGCAGTTCGCAAACGCCGGCGAGCTCTGGTCCTCCGGGAAGAAGTCTGCGAAGACCGCCTTGTTGGTGCTCTCGTAGACGGCTCGCGCCATCCCCTGGAGGACATACAGCAGGATGAGCGACCATCCCCAGTACTCGTTGCGCTCGTCCGGCGTGGCGACCAGAATCGATGCAGGGATCGCAGCAAAGCTCACAGCCCCGACGGTCGGGCGTTGCCACAAGGTGTCCCTGGCCCAAGCTCGGCGGCGAGGCGAGGGGGGAAGTGAGAAGGGGCGGGCCTTCTCAGAGGGCTCAGGAGTGCCCCGGCCTTCTGAGAAATTCCCTAAGGCTTCCCAAAAGCACCAACAAAAACTCTAAGAAGGCCGGAGGGCTTCTGAGAAGCCCCGTCGCCTTCTGAGAAGGCCCCCTCTCCTTCTTAGTTCCCCCCTCGCTGGCCGCCAGCAAGCTGTCCCCAGGATTTCTTTGGGAGCCCCCCCGCCGCTTCCAGAGCGACCCCCGCAGGGCCCAGAGGGCCCCAAGGGCCCGAAAGTGGAGCGACAAACAAAGGCGAACAAATGGACACGCATCCCACGAGGATTGCTTATATGTTCCCATCTTTTCTGGGACACAGGCAAACAAATGGACACGAATCCCACGAGGATTGCCCATATCTTCCCATCGTTTCTGGGTTTTTTCCTCCTCCCCCCTTCCCATATGTTCCCATATTTTCCTTGGAATCGACGATTCATGGTGTCTGTGATTTTTTCCCCTCCGGACTGCCGTGGGCCCGGGACCCCAGACATGCGATGTGTCGCTTTCTTCTACACGGGGCCTCTGGAAATTCTGGCCCTCTCCCTGGGGCGCGCCTTCCATTCCGAGCTGCTTTCTGACGGCCCCCGGGCCCGGCGAGAACCCCCCTGGAAAGAAGAAGAAGAAGAAGAAGAAGAGAAAACGCCATAAACATTAAAACTTTTGGCGCTCCGCTCGGATTTCTTGTCGTCTTCCTTCACGGCGCGAGCCTGCCTGGGACACCCGTGGGCAGCCCCCGAGAGGCATATGGTCAGCCCCTTGCCGGCCCGCCGCGACAGGCAGCCGCACACGGGCGAGGCCGCGGTGGCCACCAGGGACGTCGTCGCCAG